TGTAACCTTCTATATTGAGGTTCCACAGGTAACTTATTTTTAATAAGTCCTGCAACTTGAGAATTATCAGTTTCAATAACAAATTTTTTAGATAAAAGGAATAATGAAAACTTTTTTATTCCTCTAATAATTGCTAATAATTCTTTTTCATGAGTAGTATAATTTATTTCTGCTTGGTTAAAAGTTCCACTTGAATATTTGCATATTTCATTTAAATCTGTTTTTAATATAGCTGCCCAATATTTATCCGAGGCATCAGTATTGACAATTAGATTATCTTTTTCATCTGGTACTCTTAATTTTGGTAAATTTTTACTTTCTTCTTTTAATGATTTAACAATTTCAGTATGTTCCTTATTCCAACCTTTAGTATTTATTTTCCTAAGTAGAATTTGTATCTTATGTCTCTTTTTTGAGAGATTTTCAATAAATCCTTCAGCATTGTTTAAACATCCTAAAAAATTTTGTATTTGTTCTTTGGATTTTAATTCATCTGAAAAGTTTTCTATCTTTTTAGATATATGAGTCTGTAATTTTATTCCTTTTCTATCTATTGATAATCCTAGAAAATATATTTCTTGTTTCTCTATTATAGATTTCTTTTTAGAGAGTACAATTCCTTCCTTTTTGCATTCATTTATAAATTGTAATAAATGATTCATATGTTCTTTTTTAGTATTAGAGCATATTAGTATATCATCAATATAAACAATAAGAAAATCACTAAACTTTTTTAATATATTATCCATTTTCCTTTGATATATTTGTGGTGCATTTTTTTAAACCAAATGGCATAACTAACCATTCATATTTTTCTTGAGGTGTACTAAAAGCTGTATATTGTATACTATCTTCTTCCATTTTTATTTGCCAAAATCCTGATTTACAATCAAATTTGGAATAATATTGTTTTCCTTTTACAAGGTTTATTAGGACTTCTTTATTTGGTAAAAAGTAACCATCAAATTTAGTATATTTATTTAATTCTTTATAGTTTATTACCATTCTAACTTTTCCTCTAATTTGCTCAGAATGTTTCATAACCATAAAAGCTGGACTACTATGAGGTCCATTACTGGGTCTAATTAGCTTTTGTTCTAATAGTTCTTTTATCTGGATTTTAAATTCTTGCATATCCTATAAGGTATACATCATTGGCCTAACTCCTATTATAACATTTTCTGTTAATTCTATTTTAGCTTTAGGATGATATGGTTTCCAAAATAATTATGGGTTTTCTCCATAAATTTTTTATAATTGTTCTATGATTTTTTCCATACTTATCTCTATTTCTGTTTTTAGGATCTTTTTATATGATAGTTTTTTATTTATTAGTTCATCTTGTACTATTGGTCGTTTTTCCCATTTATCACCACGCTGGGCTGGCTGAACTCTGTAGGGTCTAAATTCTCTTGGTATTTTTAATAGATGTGCACAAGGTATTTGTAACATTATCATGTAATTATTTTGTTTGTAATATTGAAATTGTTGGATAAAATCATTTCCTAATAATATATCACATTCTAACTTATTATAATTATATACTTTATTTATTATAACTTGTTTACTACCAAGTATTATATTAACTTTTTCAGCACTATCAATTATTTGAGTACTTTCTCCAGTCACTTCTATTATCTTTATTTTACTATTTTTATTCCATGATTTTATTAAGGAATTTTTAAAAATTGTTATATCACTTCCTATATCAATTAAAGCACAAGTTGTTATATTCGTTTCTACTATAGTAACTTGTATATATACTGCCAATGGAAAACTAATTTGACTATTCATCCACTTCCTATTCTACATAATATAGTTTGTCCTTTATGAGTTATATAGAATCCTTCTCTTCTTATAATATAATCTTTTAATCCATTTAAGAAACTCATTCCTAATAATGTATGATGTTCAATATCCATACTTTCATCTAAATAACATGGTACTAAAAGATCAATCCCACCTATTTTTATTGGTACCTTTACCTTTAATTCTGTAATATATAGTTGTCCATCAAAATTCCTGTATTCATATGGTTCTATCTTGTAAGCCATTAATCTTTCATTTTTATTTGCAGTCATATGACATTCACCAGCTCCTGTATCTATCAATATATTTGGTCCTTTTATATACCTTCTACC